GGTCCCATGTGCGTGATTGGTGGCGCAGTGCGTCACTCAAGCGCCCGTGATGATAAATAGTTAAGGCCTGGAGGTACCGGTTGCGGTTGCCACAAGCCTATGACTTGGCGCTGGAGCTGGATTCGGTGGCACCCAGCGATGTGGAGCAAGTGCTCCCCCACATTCTGCGAGGAAAAGGTTTCTTCTCAAAACACGCGCACTCACCCCACAGCGCGCACAGGGCTGAGAATGACTGGGACTGATTGGGCGCTGTGGCGGCAGGCAAGTGCATCAGGGCGCAGCATAGCAGAGAGCCGATTGTCTGGTGCCAAGCCAATATCCACCTTGCTGTCCCGGGTACGTACCCTTAACACCGCCCAAGCACGCACTGCTGTCACACACACCACACACACACAGCGCTTGGCCTAACAAATGGTCATTGCAACAGGCGAGGGAGGCTGGCTGATGCTGGGCTTTACGCTGGATGCCCACAACATCAAGCTCTTTGCCCAGGCCTCCAGCGAATCACTGGCCAAGCGGTACCTCCACCACCCTTACTACCGCCACACATAGTACAAAAATCACTGGGTGGGTGAGAATGTTATGTGACACATTTGAGTTGTGTGGTGTGCTCCTCACCGGCGTGTGCAGCTTCCACCTCGCCCACGACAGGTCGGACCTCATCTACCATGGCAGGGTCACGCCTGGCAGGAAAAGCATTTGGCAGCTCCGCCCTGGCCTCAAATTCTTAGGCGAGGTGGCGCGCACCTATGGGCTACTCCCGCCTCTCGAGCGCTTGCGTCCGAGTGCCGACAGCAACGGCGAAGGCAACTGTGACTTGGCGGAGAAAAAGGAGGAGGACTTGAATGAGGAGAGAGACAATAGGCTGCGGGTCCTGGCGGTGCTGTTCGTGTGCGCCCTTGCAGCCACGCCCCAGTACAGCCTGCCCGGCAGAGCCGACGCAGGCGACACAGCCGAAAGGGCAGCGCCATTCGGCATCTGCATGGTACGTGTAGTGCGCAAGCCGTGGAGCGTGTGGTATCGTGTGCGTGGCGATGACTGACAGACATGTCATCCACGTGGATGGGCAGCTGCCGCACGGGCAGAGTCGCATGAGTGTAGCGGGCAACGTGTTGGCCGAGCCGCCTCGTC